CCCCCCCCCCGAAGAAGAAGATAAGAAATAAGCCCCTTTTGGAAAATTTAATCTGTTCCAGTGTAGGGTTTTCCACCTCCCATTCCCTTCTGTACAGCCTTCTGTACTGCGAGGGAAACTACATAATCCTATTGTAAGATCTGCTTACAGCCAAACGATTTTTTTCGCCTTCCAGTTCATAAAACTCCCCTTCCCCCATGCTCGGTGCAGGGCTTGACCTTCCAGGAGTTGCATTTTTATGCTACAACTCGACGTGATATAATATGCAGAACATATACTAATTTCGTATCGCTATCGTCTAAACATAGCACAGAGATTTTACAGCGACCGTCACTCGTCACCTAATTATTTTTCCATCGCTCTATGAATAGCTCGTCTGTGTGCAGGGGAGGGGGGGGCGATAGCAAAGTTGTGTTCCTCCGCTGCCTTCTCGGCCCCCTTTTTCGAGGCGAAAGGAGTATCCCCGGGTCACATAACTTGTCTCCGAGCCAGTTCCTTGGCAGATCAGCACAGGTACAGCCATTAACCGGGAGAGCTCATCCCTTAATGACAGTGTTTTTCTTAAGTAAACAAACTTTTACTGCTCTTTAACGGCCTCACTGTTTGAAGTCTCTGAAGCAGAAAATGGTTAAATTCTTGGGAAAACTGACCTACATCGGAGAGGCAGGTTCAGGGCAAACCCGAGATCGGAGGGTTGCGTTTATTAAACATCATTCTGCGCGCCTGTACTTTTCGCTTTAACTTTCCCGGTGATTAATTGCTGTATTGTGAAAACTCCTGCAGGGCCTTTATGGTTCCACCGTTTCTATTAAACACTCAGAAGTTGTCAAAAACGCAATGTTTCTGAAACCCTAATAGAACTCGCTACGAATTATTCATGAAGACAGTTCTAGATTCAACAGGAAAATTATTGCCTCCTCAAATATTAATGACTTCTGATTTCTCCGAGGCTGGGGAGCAGGCAGAGGGATTTCTGGCGATGTGCGAATTTTCCAGGTTGGAGGATAAGGCCGTGAAGGCGGCGGCAGCAGCGGGACGAGCGGGACGGGCAGGGATCGCTTCGCCGCCTTCCCAGCGGGCCAGGAACAATAGTGCGAGGCGTGGGACGGAGCCCCTCTCCCTCCCGGGCGGCCCCCGCCGCCC